AGCACTGACCCTCCGACAGTGCGGCGCTCCCTCAGCACTGACCCTCTGACAGTGCGGTGCTCCCTCAGCACTGACCCTCTGACAGTGCGGTGCTCCCTCAGCACTGACCCTCTGACAGTGCGGCGCTCCCTCAGCACTGACCCTCTAACAGTGCGGCGCTCCCTCAGCACTGACCCTCCGACAGTGCGGCGCTCCCTCTGCAGTGACAGGACCCACTGACGGTGAAGTGCCCCCTCACTACTGACCCTCTGAATGACACCATAAGCTACAGGGTGCTGTGGCACAATGGGATAGTGTCCCTACCTCTGGACAGGTCCCACCTCAGGCTGTGTTGGCCAAGAGCCATAATGTCCAAACTGTCTGCTGAAAATAAATATAAATGTTGCAGCTCGATCAACAGGGTCTCTGGGATGTGGTTGGCTGACAAGACAAACACAAATAGGAGCTGGCAGGTGTGGGCCATTCAGCCCCTTCTACCTGCTGTCCCATCCAACTTGATTGCAGAGTATAGATTCCATTTAACTATGTAAGGGGCAGTGAATGTGAAAGGAATTAGGAACCTTGCCAATCGCAGCGTTTCTTTCTCTACCTTCCTACGCAGTCATATGTAAACCCATCCGCAATGATATAATGTGCAGTAAATCAGAAACAGGGTAATCTAACCATTTAACCCCGTGTGTCAGTCCGTTACAGAACGTGCTATTCATCTGTAAGATGGTAACATAATAATTTAATATTTTGAGTATTTATTCTCTGTGACAGCTGTGAGTATTTTAAAGGCGAGGATTTCATTGATGGATGCTTCAGCCATCAGATGGATTATGGTAAACTGAGCAGGTATACACTTTGATTTATTACTAGTCAGGTGTAATGTGTATCTCATTGAGAAGCAATATTGGCCTTTCACATCCAGCAGCCCATAGCAGACTCTCCGACTCACTGTATATTACAACGGTGCCTGGGCACTTAGATCCTGAGACCCATTGGAGGTGAGCTTTAGCGCTTGTAAAATGGAAAACCAATTTAACAACTTGTTAATAACAACAATGGGACCATTTGTCCGATTATAGTTCTTCATCTGGTGTCTCCAACTGCAATCTTCCATTGTCTCTCCAATTACAATTCTACGTTGTTTCTTGGTCCAATTACATCCTTTATTGTTTGTGGGTCAAGTTACAATTCTTCATTACCTTTCTCATCATCAGAATCCTTCAGTACGTCTGTCAAGACCCACCCACCTGCAGGGGTGTATAATAACATCTGTGAACAGGTTGATTAGAAATATATATATATATATATATATATAATCCCACAGTCCAGTCTTTCCTTTGCCTCCTGAGCCCTATTTCTGTCCAATTTCTGGATGCTCTATTCTGTATGATACCTAATGGCCAATAGGGATTCTCAAAGGTGTTTGCTGATGAATAGCATCATAAATATTGTTCGTTGTCAATAAGTAATTTAGCAAATTGCACCATATTTCCTGAAAGACCATAACACGTTGGAACAGAAGCTGGCTGTTCAGCTCTTTGTGTCTATTCTGCCAACCAATAAGATCATGGCTGGTCTGATCTTCAACTCCATTTTGCTGCCTTTTCCCTGTAACCCTTGGTTCCCTTCCTGTTTAATAATCTGTACCTCAGGTCTGCATATTCTTACCAACCCAACCTCTCCTGCCCTCTGCGGAAACAGTTCCACGGACTCACTCTCCTCTGAGAGAAGAAATTCCTCATCTGTGTCTTAAATGTACGACCCCATACTCTGAGATAATGCCCTCTGGTCCTAGACTCTCCCACAAGGGGAAACAAACACTCTGTATGTCCTCTGTCAAGCCTCCTGAGGATTGTGTATGTTTCAATTAAGGTCATCTCTCATTCTCCTAAACTCCGACAGGTACAAGCCTCAAACTACATAACCTCTCCAGCCCTCTGCAGAGAGAATTCCACAGACTCACTCTCCCCTGAGAGAAGAAATTAGGTTTCGGTGGTGTAGTCGGTCAGTGTATTTGGCTGCTCACTGAAAGGTTGGTGGTTCGAGACCACCCAGGGCTGGAGCTTTTGCTGGGTGGCATGGTGGCTCAGTGGTTAGCGTTGCTGCCTCATGGTGCCAGGGTCCCAGGTTTGATTCCACCCTCAGGCAACTGTCTGTGTGGAATTTGTATGTTCTCCCTGCGTCTGTGTGGGTTTGCTCCAGTTTCCTCCCACAGTCCAAAGATACACAAGTTAGGTGGATTGGCCATGCTAAATTACCTATAGTGTCTAGGGTGAGAAATACTGGGATAGGGTAGGGGGTGGGTCTGGGTGGGATGCTCTTCAGAGGCTCAGTGTGGACTCAATGGGCTGATTCCACACTGTAAGGATTCTGATTCTATGATGACTTCTCCTCATAAGACAGTCCCTCCATACGTGGTATCAGCCAAGTGAACCTTCTCTGAACTGCATTCCAATGCCAGTATTCGACAAAGGGCCCAAACTGTTCACAGTATTCCAGCTGTGATTCACCTAGTGCCCTGTATAGTTTTAACAAAACCTCCTTATTTTTATACACTATTCCCTTTGAAATAAAGACTAACATTCCATTTGCTTCCCTATTACCCACTGAACCTGAAGGATCCCCCAGTCCCTCTGTTCTGTAGCTTTCTGCAGTCTTTCTCCATTTAAATAATAGCTCCTCTACTCGTTCTGCCAAAGTGCATAATTTCACATTTCACCACATTATATTCCATTTACCAAGTCTTTGCCCATTTGCTTAATCTGTTTATATCCTTCTGCAGAATCTTTGTATCATTGTTACCTCTTGTCTTTCCACCTACATTAGAGTCATCTGCAAACTTGGCTACAATTCATTCACCTTCCCCATCCAAGTCATCAGTATATGTGGTCTATAATTCAGGCCACAGCACTGATCCCTGGATTACAGGCTGCAATCCTAAAAATGCCCCCCTTATCCCAACTTGTTTTCTACTATTAGTTTGTCAACCTTAAAAGGGGGGAGGCAATGGCCTAGTGGTATTATTACTGTATTGTTAATCCAGAGACTCAGATAACATTCTGGGGACCCAGGTTCAAATCCCGCCACAGCAGATGGTGGAATTTGAATTCAATAAAAATCTGGAATTAAGGATCTAATGATGACCATGAATCCATTGTCAATTGTTGGAAAAACCCATCTGGTTCACTAATGCCCCTATAGGGAAGGAAACTGCCATCCTTACCTGGTCTGGCCTACATGGGACTCCAGACCCACAGCAAAGTGGTTGACTCTGAACTGCCCTCTGGGCAATTAGGGATGGGTAATAAATGCTGCCTAGCCAGCGACGTCCTCATCCTGTGAATGAATAAAGAGGAAAAAAATCCTCTATCCATGCATATTTAACCACCCCAATATCACAGGCTCTTAATTTATTAAGTAGCCTCATCAAACACCTTCTGAAAATCCAAATATATTGCATCTACTGTTTTCCCCCTTATCTGTCTTGTTTGTCACCCCCTCAAAGAATTCTAGTAAATTTGTCATGATAATTTCCCCTTCATGAAGCCATGCTGACTGATCAATCAGATTAGGTACTTATAAACTATTACATCCTTTATAATAGACTCGAACACTTTCCTAATAACAGATGTTTAGCTAACCATCCTAGTTATATTTTTACTCTCCTTCCCTTTTTAAATAAGGGTTTTATATCGGTAGGTTTTTAATTCTCTGGGGTCTTTCCAGAATTTAAGGATTCCTGGAAGATTACTACCAAGGCATCCACTGTCTCTATACCTACATCTTTAAGATGACAGGAATATCTGCGCATTATCGAATAGACCCCATCATGTTCTGTTTATCTTGCATTTTATTTCACAGCTTGAGTAAACCTTGTGAAACAGTAGTGAAGGATGACTATGCCCTGCTCACCCGTCACATTGAGGAAATCACAACAACCAGGTACTCGCGTTATTTTACATTTACATCCCACAGGCTGTTACTTATAGTTCATTCAGTCAACTTCTTCAGGCACCTCTCAGGTAGGTGGGACTTGAAGTCAGTCGGTCTGGCTCAGGGGTAGGGACACTATCCCTGGACCACAAGAGCCGCTGAGGCAGCTATGTGTTTTGGTGGTTTCTGGTTGTTGGTTTTTGTTATGTTGGTGCTTCTTTTGGAACCAGGAATTATACACCAAGTAGACAAATAGTAAATCCAAACAGGAACCCTTTACTGACAAGGCTCCCACCTCCAGAGCCAGTTCAAGCCTGTGCCCCTCTGTCCATCACTCTTAAAGGGCAAGCATCTCCAACTACATACATAGAAAATAGGTGCGGGAGTAGGCCATTCGGCCCTTTCATTCAATATGGTCATGGCTGATCATGCAATCTCAGTATCCCATTCCCGCTTTCTCTCCATACCCTTGGTCCCTTTGGCCGCAAAAGCCACTTCCAGCTCCCTCTTCAATATATTTAACAAACTGGCCCCAACAGCTTCCTGTGGGAAAGAATTCCTCAGGTTCACAACCCTCTGAGTGAAGAGATTCTTCCTCTTCTCTGTCCTGGAAGGCTTACTCCTTATTATTATATACATTATAGGTTCCATTATATTGGGTAATTGGGTTAGTCATCCTCTGTATTTCAGGTTCTGTTTCACTTCTTTGGATCCCAATTCGACTGTGGCACATTCCTCAGCTCGAACTGTATTAACCACAGTTTGTCCCACTCACTGCCCCTTTGTTGCTTTCTGCCTCCATCTGAACCGCTCACCATGGCTTCCCCTCTTCCTGCTGAGAGCTTACCCTGGGCACGGTGGGGACAGCTTGCTCTGACCTGATCTTTAATCTATGTTCCAGTCTGTGTGAGAAGATTCAAACTCTCCTTTATTATTTTGTGTGGTTAGAGTGAACGGTAAGAATGGAGCTCCAGTCAGGGACAACGACTCAACCAATGAACCCAGGTGAGAATCGATCTCCTTCCTCTGCTGCATCTGGGAGGGCTCCGAGAGAATGACAGAAAGAGGCTGGATTTCTATAGCACCTTTCACAACCTCAGGACATGGCATTCCAAAGTGCTTTTCAGTCAATGAAACATTTTTGAAGAACGGTGACGACTGTGATATGGGGAAATTTGGCCTTCGATTTACACATAGCAAGATCCCACTACGACAATGAAATAAAAGATTAGTTTGGATTAATAAAAACCAAAAGAACTGCGGATGCTGTAAATCAGGAACAAAAACAGAAGTTTCTGGAAAAGCTCAGCAGGTCTGGCAGCATCTG